TTTCATATTTTCTTAACTATTTCACCATAAGCAAGGCGGTAATGCCAATAGTACGATGAGGTACACAGGGAGTATAAATGAAAGAGAAGACTGAGAATAGGCAGGATTGAGTGTAAGACAAAAGATAAACAAGGCAGAAGATTGCAATTGATGTTGCATTTAAATTTTTGAGGATTGTAATTATTAAGGAAGCAAGAAAATGGAAGAGGTTTCCACAGGTGAGAAGTCAGAGAGAAAAATCTGTTGGAGAAGAATTGGATGTTGCATGTAGCTATTTTCACAGTAAAACGATTGGATTTAGATGTCAATCCAGTATCACACATAAATGTATATTTTGGAGACGCTAGAGAAAAAACAGTTTCCACGTAAATATTTCTGGAAATGACTGGGGGCCGTCACGTAATGTCAGTGAGAATGTGACTGAAGTCGAGATGCCAGGATCGATTACATTACAAATCCTTCTTTGGGTGCTGTCTAGAATCTCCAGATGTAGAGCAGTAGCACCAGACTAGATATGGTAACAATATTCAATGCACTGACGAATGGTAGATTTATAAATATGCAAGATGGATTCTGACAAGAAAACGTTTCTTACACGACACAGTGACCTAACTTTCAGTAGTAGATGCGTCTATTTAGCCGATATATTCACTCCAATTCAAGTCAGTTGAAAACATGAGGTCTTGCATGTGCTGCTTATAGTAGACAGAAAAGTTTCTGTCTGATGGTTAAATGAATGCAGTTTTCAGAAGTAATGTAACATTTTTTTTTTAAATCCATTGATCACATGCATATTTAGTTTACGTTTCAGGTACGAAAATAAACGTTGCAGGTTTAGAGTTCGAAAGCAACAAACTAGAGATGAGTATTTCTAAAATAGAGTTAGGCAAGTCTACTTTGCTCTGGTGGCTTTCGATGGCCTAATGATATGGATCACTTAGCTTAAAGTATTATCCCTTATTAAAAAAAAGGGGGAAATGCTCTAGAACTGGCAACTTTTATTGAAAAGCTTTTCCTGTCTTCAGTCGACATAATTTCACGATTAAAAAATGAGCCTACTCAAGTGTACCCACTAAATATAACGGATAAACAGTCATATCACGTTTGAACACCAATTCCTGATGTAAGCAATGTCGAGTTTGGTCACTACTAGATGGGTGACTGCTTGGAAATACCAGGTACCACGAGATTAGATGTACGGGTGGTGTAATCGATAAGGACTCGGAATTTTTAATCGGACAGTCGAGGTTCAATTCCTATTAGGTTCGTTTTATTGACTTACGTGCAAATACCCTTGGGAAAGAAATGAATAGAGCTTCCCCCCTCTATGGATTAATTAGTAAGACTTGTATAACTAAAAATTATTATTATCGCCAAAATTAAAAATAAAAATTTACGATATATTTTCTGGCATTAAGTAACATGCAAATAGTCGATAAGCCATCGAAAACGAATCAAACAAAACAAAATGTAAAAGTGATGTGGGGCCAAAATTGGGACCACAGAAGTAAAACACGGAACACGGATTAGATGTAAGAAAGATATATTAACAACAGGTTACAGAGATAGTGTAAGCGGAGCTTACTATATGTTAGTGTCCAATACTGGTAGTCGTACGCGGCTCTCTCTGTCTTTCTGTCGAGTGTTGTGTCGCATACTTAATATATAGACCTGGAAGAGTCTATTGTGTAGGTAGTTCCGGTCTCACAATAAAAAGGGATAAGAATTAATGTCAAATTAAAATATATTATTTTGTTTAGTTTAAATTAAATTAGGAGCTATCAATATCGAAACTACGCAAAGAAATATGTTCATTTTTTTTTAATAGGGTAACTGAACCAAGCTTTGGTTTGTCAATTGATCAAACACAGGACAATGGAGATACAAATAAAAAAATCAATAAAACTCAGCTTGTTACAAATTTCAGTGTCGAGTTACGGAGTTATTGATCTAATTATGCGCTCCACCTCTGTTAATCACGTCTCCTGCACATATGTTTGCCTTTCCACTAAGTGTATATGTTTAGTGTAGGGAACATTCTACTAGAAATTTCATAGAAATAAATGTGTATCATGTAAGGAGAGATATAATGTGTGAGAACTGTGTGAGTTGCTCCCTATCTGCTGTTTCATACTTGAATGTCTGAAGATTGAGGTCAAAGGGTGAAACAGACTGTTGTCACTCGGTGTTGAACTCAGAAGTAACTTTTATATTTAAATACACTATATCCTTGATATTGGACTTTTTTAATCATTAATATGTCATATGATAAAATTATATTTTATATCATATATGTTTTTTAGTTAATTCATCCGATTCAAAGTGATAATTCTACTTCGATGCAAGCGGGTGGTGCGAGATAATGAAAAGAAAGAACACAATCCTAAACGAGAGACAAGAGAAATACCTCTACAGCTCAAATTACCGATGAGAAGATTAATTACCTTCGAAGTAGTACCTTTCTGAATCGATTTCCACTGATGGAAGCATTTCTGGAACTCCTTTTAGGGATAGCGAGCAGCCACCTGGTCAGATTCCGTTAGATTTCTTTCTTCCTTTCAAGTGGCATTTGATATTTGGAGAGTAAAAAGACTTAAGGTGCGAGATCTGAAGAACATGGTTGTTGTTGGATCTAGGGGATATTGTGCTTGGCCCCAAACTGTCCCTAATAGAAACTCCATGGCGTGGTGAGGCGACCACACAGTAGACACCTTCATCCAAAGCCCTGCTATAAATAAAGGAAATGATCGAGATTGTTATAACAGTGTGTATGAAAGACAGAGTTCAAGGTCAATCTGTCATAGCAAAAGTCCCGGCAGATTTGATTAAATGTCTCTCTCTCTCTCTCTCTCTCTCTCTCTCTCTCTCTCTCTCTCTCTCTCTCTTCACACACACACACACACACACACACACACATATATATATATATATATATATATATATATATATATATATATATATATATATATTAGCAGCATGGCCTGGCGTTGACCGTGCTTGATTGAAAAATCGTACGACTCATACAGCATTCGCTATCACTTGACTTAAAATATTTTTGCCCTTCCTTGCCTTTAAAGGAGTGCCCTTTGCCGTGCTGATGTTGCTACATGCCTTAGTTCTTGCCTCACACTGCGAATTTTTTCTAAGCTCTATACTAAACATTAAATATGTTACGAAAAAAGAACTAAACAAAATGAACACAAAACGATCAGCTTTAAAAAGGACTCGTAACTGGAAAAAAACGAATGAAAAAAAAAGAATGTTAACAACAAATACTTTTTCACACTCAACCCAGTTCTGCGGAATCAGAATCAACGTTGAGTTTAAGCAAGTGAATGAGCCAATTGGAGTAAAGTGCCATGCAGATTTAAATGTTTCCCACTTGTGACGAATGCAGCTATAGATTTTATTATTATTTTTTGCATGCTAGCATGGTAGTTAACATTCGTGTCAGTCAGCTGTTGGCTCTCACGCTGGCCAATAGAATCTTCCTGCTTATTCGTGGTAGCCAGCTATTGGCTCTCACTCTGGCCAGTAGAAAATGGCCGCAAACTACATGAAAATTGCTGTAGAAACATGAAAAAATCGATTATTTCCACTGTCGATGGGAGTTGGGAAATGCAAAGTGGCTAACTTGGAGCATGTGCATGTGTATATAAATTTTGGTGCAAATCCGTCGAAAATTGCCGTGCCGTACACACACTCACACTTACCTTACCTTTTAGCCGCAACTAATAGACAGGTATCCTCTAATATGAGTGGCTATTATATATATATATATATATATATATATATATATATATATATATACACACACACACACACACATACACACACACATATATATATATATATATATATATATATATATATATATATATATATATATATATATTAAACAGTATATTTCATTTGTTTTTCGTCTAGTGGCCTTAATTTTCGAGAAATTTTATTAAAAAGAAAAATATGGATTCTCCGATAGTTATTCGAACATGCATGCCTCTGGGAAGGAACCTTAACCAACTCAGCCACGGAGCAGCCTGAAACGTGCCTTTAAGTGAAATCATTCCTGTATTAAATTCTTCATTATTTTGAGATTCACTCAAGCAATTTTCTAATAGATTTTTATTTTATGAATCGGACAGATTTTTATCACAGTATATTTGGTTGATCGACAATGCTGCTCAAGCAAATATACTGTTTCATTAATAAATGGAGCATCTATTCAAATATGAATATCCACTAAAGATAACATTTAAAGTGATTACGGTGGATCTAACGACGATTTTCATCTACCCAGAGGGAAGCAGGTTTGCAACATATAGCGCATATTTTCTTTAAGAAGGTTTCGTCAATATTTAGGCCGGTAGACGAACATAAAAATAATATACTATAAGCTATTAGATATTAAGTAATATCGTTCTTAAGGAACAGAGTAACTGCAAAGAAACAACTGGTAGTGACCAGAAAGAGGTAGTTAAATATTCTACGACGCATTATGAGCAAAGATTGACAGGAGAAAGCATTACACACAGGATATAATGAATCGCAGCGAATCAGAAAGAAAGAAAAAAAAGCATCTAACCAATATAACTAAGTTTTAATGACAGAACAAGTAAAAAGCGTTGTCAAAAATTACTTAAAACAACAACAACAACAACAACAAAATAGAGACAGGTCGTTGTGAAGGGGTAGAATCACGTTCGTCCTGAAAGGACTTTGCGCACAAATAAGAAGTTATATCCCCAGAACGCGATCGATCGAAAAGAAAAGGTAAAGGAACTGATTGCAGATGAGATATTTACCCGACTATTAATCACTGAGTCATTTTTTTTTTTTTCGTTTTCTAATTTTGACATTTTTCTTTCACGTTTTTCTTCTTTTCCAGTTAGAGTAAGGCTCTCAAACAGATATTGTTGACGAATCAATGTGGCATTAGATGCAAATGTTTACGCTGCCTTAGCGGGAACAGATTGACGGTCCATGTCACAGAAGGCGAAATGGAAAAACGGAAAAAAAAACCCCACCCGACTCGCCCACGACGCAGCTGTGGCAAAGGCGAATATATTTCTTTTCTTTTTCGGTTTCATGCCATGTTAGTAGCAAAGAATGTCGTGTATTTATACGTTTCCCTACACATGTCGCTTTGGTCCTATTTAAGATAGTTAACGGCGGTTTAAGACACGAATGTTTGAATGTTTGTCTTCTTTGTTTGTGTTTTAACTCTCACATTAAGCGTATTAAATTTTGCTTTCGCTTGTGCTATACAAAAGGGACTTACCCCCCCTCTCAATTCCCATGGTATTTGAACGACATCTGGATCTGACTACAGAGATCTATCACCTATATTTCAAAATTTCTTTTATGTAATCTCATAAAATATTGGGGTATATCAATATTTTTATGTATTATTAGCTACCATATGCAGCCAAAATGTTTGTACAATGTTCCATATTTCATGAGGTTTACGACCATCTCACCGTGAAACACCGTTTTTCGTAAGATCATCGAAGTTAAAAAACATCTAGCCTGTTCAGTAACTCAATAGGTGACCGTTTGAGAACAATAAGGGCTTGGATGTGCGGGTGGTGTAATAAATAATGACTCATTATTTTAATAGGAGAACCGAGTTCAAATTCCCGTTCATTTCGTTATATTCACTTCTGCGCAAATACCCTTGGGAAATTATAAAATCCACCTATTATACGTTACTTATATCACTAAGCGGTTATTATTCCGCCACTTCTTATATCTTAAAAATATTTCCTGGTTTTAAATAAGCCGCAAAAGTCTACATAAGCCGTAGAAAACGCATTAATAAATGAAAATTAATTTCATTAGGGTTGAAACATCGGTTCTCTCACAATCATCGAAATCAGGAAACGTCTAGTCTACTTAGTACGTAGATGCGGGACCGCTTGGGAATACCAGTGTATAATGTAACTATTTACATTATTCGGACTATTGTCCTCATCTTTATCACAACATTTCGGCCATTGTACGCTCCCGCCTTCTTCAGGTGGTTGAAATGTAGAACTGAACCCTTTATTTCGCTCACTGGTGTAGACTGTTCTAGTTTCATGTGCCATGTCTAATGGATGTCAGTTATCAGTTATCTCCTGTTAATTCCCCCCTCCTCCAAGTTCTCCACCGCCTTAACCAGGTATTGAACTGACACTCTTTGGGTCCCGTCACTGGATCTAACATATCCACTGTGCCATGTGTCTTTGAGGACATCTGTGTATGCATTTCTGGGTATTATAAACTTAATGTCTTCAGCAACTATTTTTATCAGTTCTTATATTGCAATTTTTGCTGTTATCGTTGCATGCTTTTACCAGAGCTCATATTGCATTTTTGTTGTTATTATCGCATTTCTCTGGCACTCCTTATTACTGGTTCCCATATTGTATTCATTTCTATGCTTGGCCTACTCGGGAGATTTTTGTGGCCTAGCATATGTTCTGATTCCATAAGTTTACGAATTTTCCAATGACGTCCTCTGTCTATGGACATGGAAAAACTAGCAATTAAGAGGTGGTTCCACGTTCTTCAAAACCTCTTGATCAGAGGCATTGATTTTGGATATAGTTTATCATCTTACCCAGGCCGAGCATATAATTTATCGTCTTACCCAGGACGGAACTACTCCGGGGTGGTGCTTTTGAATGTATATATCGACCAATGCAAAACCATATTTGTTCTTTTCTGCAGTTATTTACCAACAGTAATTACAATAATTAATATATCTGGGAAATGAACTACTCCGGGGTGGAGCTTGTAAATGTATATATCGACCAATGCAAAACCATATTTGAGTTATTCTGCTGGAAAAAGAATAGCTTAATTCTGTTAAATCCCCACTATATATTCCCAACTGAGCAATGGCGAGAGGAAAACGATCACTCAGGCCATTAATAATGGTGTGATCCTTTATACTCTGGCTTCCATTTTCCCTGTCCGTTCCAGAACCATCAAGAGAACGGTGGATAAGTTTTAAAAAACGTGAGAGCAGCGGAGAAGAAAACTGGATCATGATTTTTCAGCAGCAAAAGAGATAATCATTTCAACTTACAGCTAAATAAATTCTTAATGTTCAAAGTAGAGCCCAATAGTGTTATAAAAAAATCTCGGATGATTCCAGTAAGATATATTTAATCATTTCTAATTTACAACGGTTAAAATCTTAATCTAACAATTGGGCATTTTGTCGGTTTAGAGTCACACACATACAACACACAACACACTTACACATATATATGTGTGAGTGTAAATACACGCACTGTATACATAGACATTAATTCTGAATCGTTATAGTCTGGTTCCTGCTCATTCGTCAGACCAACGACCGTGTGTAAGCATGAAATTTTATGTCCACATGCGATATATATATATCCCCACAGTAATTTCACCTGCTATAAAAAAATGACAGTCATTGTAATTGCGCCAAGGATCCCATAGGTCACGGCTTGAACTAGAATTGATCATGAACACGAATACTGTAACCCCTAGGGGTCACACATTTACTGCTGTCATAGTAACACTAGTGTTTCCAGGGCACGTCAGTCTGAAGGTTTCTAAGCTCCTCCATGCTGTTTTGAATTCATCCTAGGCTGGTTACCAACCAAGGCTATAGTGTCTAATCTTCGTAGCTATTTTTTCTCACAGTAGAGATGGATTCCTTCATTTCCCAAACATACATAAATGCATATAATGAACTCGACTGGAATTAGAACTCTCCGATTCCTCAGTTGGAGTCGCCATCCATTACTCCACTGTGTCTCCTGTAAGATGATAACTTTATATTATCGATTATCAGTTAACAGCTTTTATGTCTATGAGGCGGTGTTATGTGACATAGGAAGCCCTTGCAATTAGTGGTCTTGAATTCAAATTTCTTCAGCTGCTATAGTCTTTTAGTAAATTCTGACAATTTCATATCTAAATACGTGAATTTTCTTTTTTCTAAGATTAGACATTACATAGAAAGTCTAATTATTCTCTCACTTAGCAACATAAAAAAAAGCTTTTCTTTTATAAATCGATACTCCATTCAGGCAAAAACCATTATTTCTCGGTTCTATTCTGATTTCTCTTGTCAAATGGTCGATCTTCTTCCGCTGACATTTTTGTTTTTAATTCCCTCGTCTTTCCTTGTTTTTTTTGTTTCGCCATTTTTCAAGTAGCCACATCGAATCAACGTCACCAACACTACCCACTCCATTAGTTAGCCTAAAATCTCTGACTAAATGCTCGATTGACGGAAGTCCCGTCGCACTCAACGAGATTCTCGTCTGAGTTTCAGACTATTACTCTTCTGGATTCTGCCATGATTAACTAGCAATTACCTTAAGTAGGTTTAAACCGGCCGAAAATAAATGATTTAGAATTTTTTTTCTTTTCTTCTTTTTTTTTTGTTTTGACAAACGCACCATCTTGAACTTTAACTTTTTCTTTCTTGCAATTTGAACATTTAAACTTTTTCTGTTCATTTACAACCCAATAAATGCCAGCAGATTCGTTGTCAGTGTTGGCTTCTTTTATGCTTCTCTGTAAATTCTTCGCGTAACTTGGTTTCTCTGATATGTAGCAAAAACAATACAAAAACTACGTTTATTTCAAATGTCTAACACCAGTGTATTATTCTTTCTTGCGATTCCTCTATTTAAAACTGCGTATTTGACTTGCTGTGTTTTGACGACGTGTAAAGAAAATCACCTGAGAATAATAGGACAAATTAACGGATTGGATCCGATAATCTGAAATGTACCTTCTTTCTCTTTAGTCTATTTTAGCAACTTTTACTTCTTAAATAGAACCGACATTGCGTTCCATTAGTACGAAGTAGTCTTAATTTTAAAGATGAAGAATTCACGTTGTTGGATGTTGTTCACACCAAGGGATACCAGATAATCTACAAAGAATTTAATGACAATAAGGGACCTTTTGCTGTAAGGCAAGTTGATCTGTGGTGCCCCCAGTATTTAATGATTTTATCCTAGGCGATACAAATATAGACTTTGCACTTAATTTCACACCTTATAAATCACAGGAACCTGATGCATGGTTGTTATGGGGTCCACCCCTTTTTCATACAAGTGGACTCGATCAGTGTGTACTTGTACTGCTGCCGGTGAATACGTGAGAGATAGAGTGAGCAACAGAGGTAGAGTAATAGAGAGAGTAAGAGTGTGATGTAACCTCTTTGTAGGAGTCACAGTTGCGAGCACGTAGACTCAGAAAGAAAGTCATACTTCGATACTGATTTTCCCAGACTATATATATATATATATTATTATTGCTACTAACCACATTTCTGGATCTACTAACCGTATTACTAATTGTATTATTACGTCAATACATTTATTTGTATATTTCATTCCTGCGTTTTTCATTCATTTGAGATGGGATTTCATCCCTGAAACCACAACAATGGTATAATTATAACAATAGGTGGCAGATTTGCGACCCGCAGGATATCGGTGACAAGATCTGCCAAGAAAGGTGATCTCTTGTTATCGCAGAGTGGGATGCTCGAAAACGGGTGTGATAAAAATATAAACAAATTACGTTAAATCATATTGGCTAAACTCTATACCCAAATACACAAGAAAAATAATTTAATAATTTAAACCATCATCATCCCTCCACTTTTTGCTCATGCGTAGTCACATCAAAGTAAACATCAGTATCGTCCGATGAATTTCTAAATCAAAAAAGGCATCAGACGAAGAGTTATTTCCACTTTGTCATTAATTTTCTTAACACTTTTCTGATATAGACAAATTCTTTTATAATTTTCCTCCTCATACACACCTGAACACAATCTTCAGGCCATGAAGATTGCGTTCAAGTATAAAACAGACTGTCACCGATTTTATAATCTGAATTTTAATGTATCGGAAATGCTTTATGTTAATCATTTTTTCTTTCCATAGAGAATTGTATCAACAAAATAGAATTAAGAAAAATAATAGATTAATAAAATAATTAAAATAAT